ATTCCCGAGAGCAAGTTGCACGACGTGCAAACGACGTCGTCGACGGCCAGCCAAGCGGAGACCACGTCAGACTCGGACCAGTGCTCCGTCAGGACGCAAATCACCAATTCGCAGGCGAACACACCTGCGACTGACATAATCGATCCACCGCCGCTCTACGACATCTACTGCGACGTCGACGACGAGTCGAAGACAACGTCGAACAATGCAGCAGCCAGACCTCGCTTTCTCGATTTATCAGCGCCGCAAGGTAAACCGCATTTCCAGTTTTGCAGCGTTGATTCTGACGGCGAATATCCAGGGGACGGCGACGTGATCCTGGCCGAGGCGGAGTGTGGTCGATTAGCTGAGCCGAGCTACAACGATGACAGAAGCGTGACAATACTGTCGAGCGACGAGCACGACAACGATCTGCCGTCCGAGCCGGCCTCAATGCCACCGGTGCTCTCATCCACTAGTAGCACCAGCACCGCCGCCTTCAGCTACAAGAATCCGGCTTACCAGAGCGCCAATCCAGCTTGCGGCAGCGCCGGCAGCGATCCGGCTGGAACCAAGAGCAAGGCTACATACTCGAGCGATCAGGACATTCCGGGTAATTATTTCATACTGTTCTTGTTTCATTGCTTGTTTCTATCCCAAGAGGTTAATAGATTAATGGAATCAAATCTTGATTGATTAATGGTGTATCTTGTTGACTCGTTTGCTTACATTCAGTAAGTTCTGAATCAACCATCTTATAGCATCTTAGTACGATCTTTATGTAATGCTTATACAAAATCTTAGTTGAATTCGCAATATTTAATTAATACGATTACTTGAGGTAAATTAGTATTTAATTTTTAATTAAATTATATATTTATAATTAAATTATAATTTATAAACTTATAAACATAAATTATAATTTAAAAATAAACTCTTCAATGTTAGATAAATTCATAAATAATAAATGTAAAAATCCTCAAATAATCATATTAATTATACGAACTTAACTAAGATTTGTATAAATAAACAAAGATTAAACAAAGATCACTAGTGCTAAGATGGTTGATTCACATACTGAACATAAGAAGCAAGCGATTCCACAAGTTTATAAATAGATATACCTCACTGTGTATTAGCTTATATAATACATTTTTATTAATTCAAAATAATTAATACAAAATGAACTTTGTAATTATCGCTGAAATCAATTCTAATCGCGCGAATATATGCTGTGTCTTTACTTAACCTACTACTATCATTGAAACCAAATCAGCGCGTTAGAGAGAAAGACCGATAAGATAATGATCACATCGTTGCGAGAGTAATAACGAAACATTCGCGAGTGTCAATTGACGTTACTTCTAACTCGATAAATTTGGTTTTTGTCGCACGCAGGAAAGGTTTTGGGAACGGACGATCCGGGCGGCAGCAAGGGATTGTTGAAGTGGAAGGGCGTGATGTTCGCTCCAAACGATGAGGTAGATCAAGATGCCGAACACGATCAAGAAGAGGCCGAAAGAGACACCCCGGTCGCTCCCATTGAAGACGTTGAACAAGGCAGTGAGGTTAGTCTCCCGACTTCACATTTTTATAATGAAGCTTTATTCCATTCAAATTAGATTTTTATTAATACCAATTAAAAGCAATGTTATGATTCACTATTGAAAAAAATCACGTCACAAAGTTACATAACAATATCATATATTTAAAACAAATAAATCACATAACAGTTTGTTCCAAATCACATAATTATTAAAATACATAATTTGAAAAATCACATGATATTAAAAATAATTTCATGTATTACATATATGATTTTATAACTATATCGAATTTTAAATAATTAAATGATACAAATAGAAGAAAAAGACTATCATTGTGACTTTTCAAATTACATGATTTTTTTACATACTGATTTGGAACAATCCGTTTATGATTTACATTATATGATTTTAATTATATGATTTCTTTATATATGTAACTTTGTTGTAACATGATTTTTTTCAATAGGGTTTCATACTGAACAATATGAATAAATGTAATATAACACGTACAGTGTTACACACATTTCTTCTTCTTCTTTTTCTCTGTTATTATATGACCTCGCCGATTTCGTCGATGGCGATCTGATCAAGTTACAATGATAAATGTGAAATTACAATATTAATATTATGTTACTTTTATTTGGTGTTTACTGGATTATAATCTAATGAGATGCGCTAATTTTACGATAAAACGATGTCCTAACGACGATTTTGTCGAAACTCAATTAATTTTATATCTAATAAATGCTTTATTGTTTTATTAATTTTAATGTTGAAATGTGTTATTGAGAACGCGCGAAAGAATGTCGCGTCGCAATGTTGCGCAATCTGCTCTCGTTGCAGGTGTTCATGGTGGAACTGACGCGTGGGTGGAACAGCCGACTGGGCTTTAGCTTGCAGCCGGAAGGAAATCATACAGTGATATCGGTCGTGCATCGCGACAGTGTCGCGGCCAAGGATGGCAGGCTTAAACAAGGCGACGTGTTACTGATGGTGAATCTTGCACATCAAGTTTTTTTTCAGGACGTCCTTTGGATCAAGTCTACACAGCACATTTTATCCAAAGGATGTCCTGAAAAAAAAACTTCTTAGACCAGTTCTTAGACAGACTTAGAATGTCTGTAAGATATATAGATTACCTTTGAAAATCTGCGCTGCATGAACACGACACTCCCTTTACTTTTCCCAATTTCCTTTATAGAATGTATTTCACGAAATCATTATTGAACATATAAATATTTTGGCGAGAGAAAGAGAGAGAGAGAGAGAGAGAGAGAGAGAGAGAGAGAGAGAGAGAAAGAGAGAGAAATAATTATTAATAACTGATAATTTAAAACCTTGATTATAAAAAGACAACATTTATATTTTCAATAAACAATATTATAAATATAAATAATTTTAAATAGAGAATGAAGAGATTAATATAGAAAAGATTCCTTTGAGGCTTTTATTTTAAAATTAAAATCTCTTTTCAGGTTAATGAAGAGAGTGTGGAACATATGTCAACAGCTGATATAATAGATCTATTGCGCAAGATACGCGGCTCGATAGGCATCACGGTGATGAGAAAAGCGAAACGGAGTAATGTAACGTGACACTAATCCAATGCATGATCAAAATAGAAAAACCGAAAAAAAGACGATCTGATCGAGAGTGTTCCTTATCAGTAATGGCGAGTTTGATTTAGACAAAAATCCAGCGTAAAGAAAGTTTATGTTGAAAAAAGGTGCTGATTTTTCTCTAAAGTTTATTAAACTTTGGATAATGAGGTGGTAGAAATAAGTAGAAAAGCACCGGAATTATTGCAAATTATAAATAGAAATTATAAAAGAAGAAAGTACAATTAGAGGTATTATGAATTGGCGAATCTTCAACATCAGAAGAAAGAATAAATCCGTCACTATCAACGACGAAGATCATCCATGGAGTGATATCTTTACAAAATAATCTCGCTGTGAAAGACAGCGCAGACGCTTCTGATTGCAAAAAGGAGTCGTCTTCGATCGATTACAAAAGACTGCCGTCGAAAAATATTCGCAGATGCCATCCAGATATCCCTGACGAATGTCCGGAGATAGTTACTTGTTCTTGCGAGAATCTTTGAAAGGAAACTAAACGTCAGAGATATAAGATTAAAATGCCCTGGGCAAATTAAAATGCCCGTTGCACTAAATTCTCGATTTCGTGCGCGAATTAATCAATCTCGTAACGTTTTCAATATTATTTACTATTGCACTGGAATAACTACAGTAATTATAATACAATTCATCTCAAAAGAACGTTCAACACGCCGTGATAGATTGCGCATTAATTGTAGGATAATCGGAATGCCGTCCCACAAGTTCGAATCTCTTCGATCTCCAATTATCGGCACCTGTCAATATTCCTGATCATTTATGATAATATTAACGAAAAGTGGCACCCTCTTATGATTAATGCGTATTCCTCCAATGAATTCGAGAATCAAAAAGGATCAATCAAAATACGACTAGAGAGAAATGATATTGCAAAACGAAATGTAATCAGTCGAACCACAAATTATCAATCGAGAGAAACGATTTAAAGCTTTTTTATGAAACTGCGATATACATATGTTGTACTATAGCTGTAAAAAGATATTCTTTTAAATGTTCATGAGCATGGACAGAAAAACTCATTTGAAGCTTATGATATGTATCTTGCTACATATCTTTGTAAATCATGCTTATTCCATCAATGCTTTAAGAAAAAAAGAAATACAGAATTTTACGGATAAAAAATTAAATAGTGGAAATATCTATAAATGAATTTGACGGTAATAATATAATGTACAGATAGATTTTTATACTGTTATTTTATGATTTAATAAATTATTTTATATTAATTTGATTGCGTTCCGTTTTATGCGCTGACTCCTAATAGTTCTTGTTATTGATAATAATATTGGTAATAATATATTCTTTTTATTTTTTTTTCCCTGATATATTTAAAATAATTCAACATTAAACTAAAATTAAAATTAAATTTCGATATTTTTTCGAAGGCATGGAAATTTTTTCAAGTCCTTCAAAAATAGAGCTGCGCCATGTGCAGGATTTATTGTGTAAATACTATATTTTTATCCGACAACTTTATTGAAAAAATTTGACATCTATTATCGTGAATTCACATAAACAAAAAATAATAATTGTAACATGAAAATTTATTCCGTGTCGTATTCACGCACGTGAAATAAATTCATTCATGTGAAACAGCTAATTTACATTTCAGTTTCAATTTCGTTCATTCATGATTAAATGAAAATTTACAATAATCAATATTCATAATTAAAGCGTGTGATAAAAAAAGCTCGGCAGAGTTTCCTTATTCAAGTGGAAAAGATAATCTATTTTCAGGATTTTCCCTTTAATTAATCAAATAAATTTATAAATAAAATAATAAATTTAACTGAAGTTAAAAATAAATAGTAAAAGAAAATTGGCCTTTTCCGCGGCGAAGATAATCTATTCGTCGTACTAACTTCTTTGAGGGTACTATCTCTGGTTTCTTAGCGAATCAAAAGACAATCTATAGTAAGCGCCAAGAATGAATGAGTCGTGAATGAGTTGCTAATGAATCTAACGATAAATGAATTGTGACTATTGCTTATAAGATGTCTCACGCATCTAATATGTCGATCTTTCCCGGAAAAATCGGCAGATAACTACGCACGGAATAAAAGTTAGAGTCGCTTATAGCGTGTATAATACTTGAGGGATGTATCAACGTTCGAGTAACTACCTCGCGTGATGCCATACTACAGTGGAACAGAAACTATTAACTGCGTGAACTTGTTTAAAGAAAGAGCTATTTTATGCCCGAAAACATGTATTTCCTAATCTTACACATGTATATCCTTAATCATGTTATGTCAGAAGATCATAAGAGAGATAATTGACCATTCTGTTAAAATTTTGTTAAACAGTTAATGAAATATTAGAAATATACGAGAGTTAAAGGCAGAAGCTTGTTAAAATACATAGAAACTATTTAAATTATTACATCAATGACGTTGCGCTTCCCGAGCCGTAGACAAATTTTCGTTCCTGATAATGACGCACCTCGCATACAAGCGAGGAAAGAAGTGTCGGCATAATATAAATAAAGATTAACGGTCTGTAACAGTGCAATAACGTTAAGTAAGAATTAGAATGAGAACAATATGTAATGAATGTGATAGTCGTTCCGTTTAGAATTTTAGAACGTTAGTGCTGTAAATCTACGAACTAAACGAGTTATTGTGCGAATTGCACAGATATGTACATAAAGTTAATTGTACAATTGTATAAATCGATACCAAAGTTGTATTAATATCAAAGTTGTGTAATATTAAAGACGAATATTTTACTGTATAACCAATTGTTAGACACGGGCAGCTATATTTTGACATTACGTTAAGCTTAATTAAATTATTATTGTAGTATCTATGAATATACATTCGAGATATACAAGTTTTATCGAAATTTGCGCCAATCGTTCTACCGTTTAGGCTCCCTTTCCTGTTTGGTATAGTATAATATACACATATATATTCAATAAAATTTAATTGTTTCTTTGATAAAGATTTTGGTTCCTTTCCTATCAAGAACATTAAAACTTCCTATCAAGAACATAACAAGGTATTATAAAATGGAGAAATATTATAAATATATTGAATTCTCACACATCTTTTATTCCATTTTATTACATTTTTTATCAATTAAACTGTAATTAATACAAAAAGAAATATTTATATAATCAAGATTATCCAAAATATATTATAATATTTAAAAAAGTAGATGACAATAATCTTGAAATTCTCTTTTCTTTTCTCAGAAAAAGTCGATTAACAATATATTGCTATATATAATTATAAAATATGTTACAGTATAAAAAAAGATAAAAAAAGATAATTTGAGGTTTATTTTATTAAATTCGTATTTATTCTCTGTTATGTTTTAAAAATAAATATACATTTGTTTTATATCAAAAGCATTACAAGTAAAAAAATATACATCAATTGAATATGTATCTACAAAAGATTATTTAATCTAATTTTTTTATTTTGATATTTTATAATGCTAACAAGATATATAAAAATTTATTTCTATGATTTAATTATTTTAATTCTATGATTTAATTTATGTTATTAATTATTTTATATCAATTTTTAATTATTTTATTTCTCAATCTAACAGATTTTCTCTAACAGATTTTATTTCTCAATCTAACAGATTTTCTCACAAAATTGCGTACATTATTCGTACGAATTACCTGCGATTCTTCCTTTTCATTTTGTGATTTTTCTTCATCCCGCGCAGTTTTGTCGAAATTTTCGTTATTAAATCCTTTAGCCTCACTAAGTCCAAACCGAAGAGACTTTTTAACATTCATTGTTCTATCTGCAATTTTTTCCTCATCGCTTAATGCGAATGCCATTTCACGTTCTCGTTTTCTAGGAGTCCAAGTTGTTAGGTCTTTGTCCAATGCTTTCATGTTTTCTTTTTCAGATTTCATCCCGATAGCATACTTTTCTACCGCTTCATTTAATTGCTCGAGGTTTGATTTTTCTATAAAAATAAAAACTCTTTCATAAAGATTTCAATAATTCTAATACAGAGGAACAACTATAAAAAGAAAAATAACTTTTATTTAGACTTGTTTATATATTAGGAATTTTTTTACCATAATTATCCTTAACATCAATATTGTTATCGTCTTCTATAATTGAATCTACATTTTCGTTGCGTAATTCTTTCTGCCATCTATCTCTGAGTTCGGAATGTGCAACATGTTTGTTTGGTGTATATTTTGTGGCACTTCTATTTCTGTTAGCTAATCTTGTTTGTTCTTCATTCTTTGTTTCCATATTAACAAGTTCAGAAATTGATTTTATAGTATCAATATCTATTTCATTCTTCAAAACATCACATTGTCTTGAATGATTATTAGAAATTATTTCTTCATGTATTAAAATATTTTCGGAAGATAATTCCTCGGGTTTTTTATTTTCCATTTTTATAGTACGATTAAATAAATCCGGGTTGATTGTATTTGAACGGTTTGAAATATCATGATTGAAAGCACATTGATTAGCGGAATCATCAGATGAAGTATCTAGTTCAACAGTTAGAAAATCCATAGGACATTTGCTAGATTGCAAGAGATAAGACGTGTTTGAATTCGAATCTTCGATACAATTAGTAGAATTTAGCAACAGAAAATCACTTGTTTGATCATTTTTTAAAGTTGAATTATTTTCTGCAACACAATCATTAAGTAAAATATCAGAATTTTCTTCGTTTAATATGCGTCTAACAGAAATTTTTTGTGGATCATTGTCATGTTTTAGTTTTACAATTAATTTGTCAAAACTTTCCTTGTTTGTTGTCACTAAAAATAAGAAAAAAGAAAAATTGAGAGTTTATAACATTTATATTCCAACAATCTGCAAGTAATTTGCAGAGAATACTTACAATACTGTTTTCTCTTTTGTTCTACAATATTATCTTCAGTGTTTCTAGTGACATTTGAAAAAATACTCTGAAAAAATGTAATATAATTAAAATCTAGAAAAATTCTAAATCAAATGTTAAGAACTCTGATATATGTAATCTTGTATTTACATTTGATTTTTGTATTTTCTTCTCCAAATCCTCTTCTTCTTCACATTGCTTAATTAATTCTGGTATAGGTCTTGGATATGTCTTATCACATTCTGCATTATAAAGAACTGTATATTTCTGTAGTCTATTTGTTAATGCTTTTCTATCTCCTTGAGATGATAAGCCTAATTCTTTCAGTCTTTTTCGTATAACGTTATCTTTCATTAAACTATACACTAACTTTGGCAAAGGTTTACGTTTCGGTTCGCTTCTGGAAATAAGCAAGTATTTCTATATATAATAAGCAAGAAGATTTAAAAAACTATTAAAACATTCTAGATGCTAGTAATTTTCTTTAAAAACTTGAGAAAATAATACAAGAGAATGCTTACTTTTTAGGTTCCATCTTTGTATTTTCCCTCCTTAAACAATCATCTAAATGTTTATTTATATTATTTTGAGGCACTTCCACTTTGCACACTGGACAGCTAACTAACTGATGATTTTCTTCCTTTTGAAAACTCTTTCTACTCTTTGGAGTAAACATTGAAGGAATCCTAGAATCTGCACTAGTGCTAGGAGTAGACATATCTTGTTGATTATTCTTTTGTCTACGAGGTGTGGTATTACCAGCTATGAGCATTGAATTATCCAAATGATGGTGTGATACATTGAGCATGTCTTGTTCCTCCTTATACTCAAAATTATTTGTCGAACACTCAACTTCAGAATTTTCATTCTTTACAGTAATTAGTTTTTCATGATAAACTTTCTTGTCACGTTTTTCTTTAAAATTTAAATATTGAATGATAATCTCATCCACGAGTTTGTTCTTCCTTAAATCTTTCTCAAAGATTTCCTCAAAACAAATTGGACATTGAGTCTTATGATGCAGATACTTCCTAATACACAACGAACAATCTAAAAATATAAGACGCAGAATGTACATGTGTAAAAAGTAATAAAATTTCTTTATAGAAATACTCACAACTATGGGAGCAAGAGGTTATTACACTAGTGTCCATATAATCATAGCATATCCCACATTGCAATAATGCATCAATACGCTGCAATGACAAAAAAAAATTGAAATACTGTTCATTTTATATCCTCTATCATCCTTTCATTAACTAATATCACTTTTTTCATACCTTTAACTCAACGTATTCTGTCGACCACATTGTTAATCGCGAGTTTTGAGATTAAAATAAATAATTCAATATTATTGAATACCATCACTTTTACAATCCAAACCGTGATTATCATTAATAGACTCATATGGATCTATAGTACAGCTACAAAGATTCATTTTGACTCATTTGAACGGATCCTCCTCCTGCCTACTCCACGGATGTATTCTCTTTTATCTGATAACACATGGCAGATGGCAGTTATGGCACTAAATATGGATGGCAGTGATGGAATTTTGAAACCGAACTCCGGAGGGTCCAGGGGGTCCGAACACGTCAGCGTTTTTCCCAATTGATTCTTGCACAATTATTATGAAATTAATAAAAATGTTATGGCCAGTAATGACCGCAGCCTGTACTGACATTGAAATATGGCCGCAGCACAAACTTTTGCATAAACGTATAACGCAGGGCATAAGAGAATCAACCAATCAGAATCTTTCCTTTCCTTCTCAGGGAAAAGAGGAACTTTGATTGGATGCATTCAGAACGATAACCTTTAGTCTTGATCACAGTTCTTCTTGATTGCATTTTTGCTGGGCGATTGTGATCAACATTTCGAATTGAATTTACTCTTGTCAAAATAATTTCTGAATAAATAATGGGCATCGTGCGGTTAGTACATTCACTCAGGAATAGAAAGGACATGCTGTCACGGTATTCACATGATGCACTGTTCCACGAGTTGAAATCGAATCACAACTAGAGGTTATACTTCACAGGTTCGTCATCAAGTCCACCCTTGTAGGCGGTGTCGTTTATTATAGTGTTCATCAAGGTCTGTGGTCCAAATCTGAGGACAGCGTGCAGTTATATGGGAGGATCTATAATAATATCGCACCTTACGTTAAGGACAATATCCCTAAGGAAGTCATCAATGAAGTGAGCTCTATTGCAATTGACAAATTCATTTAACATTCTTAGATCCTTCATTTAACATTCATTCATTTAACGCTGATACGCTATAAACATCAGTTTATCCTTACTATCTAGCAAATATTAAATAAATATTAAGCAAATATTAAATTAAAGACAAGTGATGTTTATAAGCATGTTGTAAGCACAAAACGAAACTCAAGCCTAATTTTTCATTATCTGATTAACTTGTGGTTAAACTTTATGATAAACTTTACCTCATGTTTCAATCAATGGGTTTCACATGACATCATAGATGAAGTCTCTTGATCATAGATAAAATTTTATTATTATGATCTTATAATAAATGATCGATTTTTTTATATTAGAACTTGAACAGTTATATTTGTGACAATATTATCAGCTTTCTGTTTCGCATTATAAATTTTTTGTTGCAACATTTTTATTAGATTCATATAAAAAAAGGAGATATTAAATTGTATAGCTACCACCGTTGCCAAGTACCAGTGACCTCTCCAATTCTCTCAAATCGTCATGGAATAAGGGAGTCATAGCAAGCATGAAATTTCTATCTGAGACTCCAACTCATGTGACTACCGGTGTACAGAAGATTTCAGAAATTATACGGGGTTATATAGAACAACAAAGCGTATCTGAGAAAAGTCAATAGCGTTTTCTAATCCTATATTGTGGATTTTAGGAAAATATGACATTATTGAGTATCATTGAGCTGTTAGCTAACTGCTATGTTAATTTATATATCTATATAGTATACACTATTAACGGCTCTTTATTGAGTTTTTCTTATTAATTTATTATATGTTCAATAAAAATTTTATTGTGATTAAATCAATTTTTTGCATTAATGATTAAATACATGTATCGACAAACAGTCAATATTTATTATTAAATATTAATTCGACAACATTAATCAACAATAAGTCAGTGATTTCGAGTTATTCATAAATTAGTTTATAATGTAATATCATTTCAACACATGGAAATAATTAAGACATCCATGATTTATGTACATATATGAATGTTTATTCGTTCTCAAATGTTATACAAACTGTCGCCAACTATGGATCTCGCTCGACATTTACACTTAAATAACATTAACGTAAGTTAACATAATAATTTATGTTAACTTACGTTAATTTATGTTAACTTATGTTAACAAAATTCCATTCTCTGAAATTCAAAGTGATGCTGATACATTTGATTTCCAAGCTATAATCAGATGGATACAAAAAGAAAAATAAAAATTCTAAGAAAGTTGAGAATGTGCAACTAAATACGAATTCCATTATGAGTCACAGTACATACTGGTCCCCAAAATAGTGATAGTATTATGTAACTGTGTTACAACAATACTTAATTGTAATGCAGTCATAGCAAATATGTCGTGTCTAGTATAAAAATAAAAGGAAAGATAAGATAAAATAAAAAATAAAGATAATAAGATAAAGATAAAACGTGCGATAACGAGTCGAAGATATATTCGCAAAAGCTCGTATATGCAATCTTAAATGCCGATACAAGGAATCTCGTGGCGTCAAAAATAAACTTTCTTTTGTTTTTTAACAACAATATAGTAATATAATATCTCTCGTGAAGTCATCTAATATTTCAACGCGTACAAGAAATTGAGCTTCCTTGATCCTTCAATCGATTAGTTGCAGGCCCTGCCTGTTCTTTATCCTAAGAAATGGATCCAACTCTGTAACTCTTAATTTTTTGCAAATTTTTCCTTACTTAATTTTTTTTTTAATTTACAATTTCTTTGTATCTCGTTAGAAAAAGGATTATGATCAATCATCAACTAAAGGATCAAAAATCGTTACGCTGCCGCGCGAAGTTCAAACTCTTTAATTTTAATTCTTTTAAAAACTTGTTTAAGTACGCTTATATAACATACCTATCTCC